TCCAAGGTCACAGAACTGGCAAATATGAAGTTCAGGACTCAAATATATCTCTCTGTGATCTCTGGCCCCCAACTATTATGCTTATTGCTTCTCAAACAAACGAGTAAATCAGTTGGTAAAAACTCCTGCACTTAAGTAGATTTGGGGGATGCTGGGTTAAATCGTGTAGACAACTTCTCTACAAGACTTTTTCCTGTCTATAACTTGCCAAAGTGCTTGGTACATCTTCAAGAGGCAATATGAGCACAGTGTCTCCATTACTAATTGGGCCATGGCATCCTTTTTTTTTGCGAGGAGGACTAAAATACTGCAGAGCAAACTTTGGCTAATGCTGCTTTAAGAACATGAGCAGGGCCAGCTATCCCCTTCTCTGTGTGTCAGCCCTCCGTGTGTGTAAACACAGCCCCACATGCTGAGTCCACATCAGAGTCTTCCTTTGCAGGCGGGCGGGGGGTGGGAGTGGGGTGAGGGGTGCACCAGTTTTCTTATCAATGAAAAGAAGAGACCGTCCTTGGACCCCTGAGGCTTTGTGGGTTCAATACTTACATCTGTGCCTTTTCACTCCTCATACTGAACTTTCTGGTTTTTCACCTTATCTTCTTTCCAGTTATGAGCCTAGAAGCCTCCATAGGGGAAACTTTAAGTTGTTTTTGGCCAATGTTTTTACTACAACTAGATAGTTGAAAACTCCTGACAATTTGGAGTCCAGGAGATGAAGATGACAAAAGAAGAACTTTCCATAAGGAAAAGAGAACATATGCATGGACCAATTTTGATCTCTCTGAGACTTTTGAGGTGGGTGGGTAGGGGTATGGATGCAAAGGAGGGGTGGGGTGGAGTGGAAGGTTGTACCTGTATTTTTCAGCTAAACATAACTGTGTTTTCTAGGTCCAGCGTAAGGTATTTCAATTCCATTCATGTGTGCAGAACCTGGGGCTGGGACATTTGGATTCTCCTGTCTAGGAGAGCCGGGTGGGGCGAGTGGGGAGTCAGGGGTTTAAGAGAGTCTACAGATAAAGGAATTAAAGGGCAGGATCAGAATCCCTCCTACCCAGTCTCCTCATCACAAAAGAGGCAGTGGTTGACCTTGTGTGTTTGGGTTCCCAGTGCAGTAGAGTTGAGCTTCCAATGGCTTTTGTCATTCAGTTATGAACATCTTCCACCTTTATTTTCTGTCCCTACCTTCCCTTTCCACTCTCAAAACCTTTCTGCCTTCTTCTGAGTAACTGAAACTGACAAGTTTCAGAAGCTAGTCTATTACTGTGACCCAGGCAAGCCAGTTCCCACATTTGACATAACCTGGCTTAGCTACTCTGCTACGGTCTATATTACTGAGACAAACCATTTTTTTCCCCTACAAAATACAACCACTTAACTCTTCCCCACTCAAGATTTGCTTCTTATGTTTTATAACTGTGTACTAACTTGGGTAACTTTTTTTTTTTGTTTTGTTTTCATAAAGGTTCATAAAGCTTCTGTAGATCAGCTCCTATTAAAACGTTTTTTTTTTTTCAAGGAATTCTAGTAAAAATCAATATGCACACAGATTCAGTTTCCTATCTCCTCCTTGGCTTGTACAGTCCCATTTATCAGCAAAGCTTCCTTGAAGTCTTCAAGTTGTACCAGAGCCTTGGTCTGGAAATAGATTCCGCACCGTCACCCTAGAGGGCGCAGTTTACATTTTCGTCAAGTAACGAGACAGCGCTCGCTCCCAGGCTCCATAAAAGGGGAGGAGGCGGATCAGTTTCCTTCTCTCATTGAGAAAGAAGAGGATTGGAAGGCCGAGCGTATAAAGCCGCGCAGAGAGCGTGAAACAAAGCAGTCGGATCGGAATTGGACTTGGGGTGCGCCGTGTGGAGTCAGGCATAAAACTTGTTGGAGGGGAGTAACGAGCCTGCTCCTCCAGCTCTCCTCATCTGTGCGGGTTCCCACCAGCCTTGCGATTTATTTTTATATCTGCTTTTTTTATATATAGAGAAATATATATACATATATATTTTTTTCCCCATAAGAGAAAATTTCTGTTCCAAGAGAAAATAAGGCAAGATCAATGAAGGAGAGAAGAGCCAGCCAGAAATTATCCAGTAAATCTATCATGGATCCTAATCAGAACGTGAAATGCAAGATAGTAGTGGTGGGAGACAGTCAGTGTGGGAAAACCGCGCTGCTGCATGTCTTCGCCAAAGACTGCTTCCCCGAGGTGAGTGTGGCCCGCCCGGGCCTAAAGGAGGGGGGCGGCCCACGGGATCCCCCGCCTCCAGGTGGGTTTCCCTTTGCTTTAATCCCTTCTTCCATTTTTCTTTTTAAAGCCATCTTTCTCACCCCTTACTACTTTTCCCCGTGGTTAGACTGCCCGGAGACGGAAAGTGGGCTGGAAGCGTTTAGGGGTTGGGACGCGCTTGCACATTCTGCTGTTAGCTTCTGAAACTTGTCCGGTCATGTGTGCAGAATCTGGGGCTGGGACATTTGGATTCTCCTGTCTAGGAGAGCCGGGTGGGGCGAGTGGGGAGCCAGGGGTTTAGGTAAAGGTCCGCATGTTTAGCGTGTGACCTGGTGCGTGCCGGTTTTTGCTTTATTTTCTAACCGAGGAGTGGGAAGCAGTTTTTTCAGAAGGAGGGTATTCTGCGAGTGTCGTGCGTTTTAAGATAACCTCTTTGCCCTCTTTCCTTCTGTCCATTTTGTTTGTCCAGAATTACGTCCCTACAGTGTTTGAGAATTACACGGCCAGTTTTGAAATCGACACACAAAGAATAGAGTTGAGCCTGTGGGACACTTCGGGTAAGAGAGTCATTGGACCGCGTGGCGCTTGGGGCGGATATTCAGCCGCTCCGGGGTGCGTGGTGGGTCTCGGAACCTCGCGCCGGGCACACTCTCAGCTCCAGCCCCGCGCGCCACCAGCGCTCTGCGCCCTTCCGTGAACGCTGCCTTTTCCGAGGGATTCCAAGGTCCCTGCTGGGTGGGGGCGGGGCGGGACAGTGGGGATGGGGGGAGGGGTGTGGCAGTGGGGAGAGAAGGGCGCTGTTTGCCCGTAGGGTGACCCCACGGTGGGAGCCGTTTGTTGCCTAGTGGCCAAGGAGCAGCTGGCTCGCGGGGCTGCTCTTGAGTCGCCTTGACGCTGCCTACGTGGCCCAATGTTGGGGTGTTGCAAGCGCCGCCTCGGAACCACTTGGCTCCGGGCTAGCGCCCCTCCAGGATCTAACCTGCTGATTTTCTTGGAGGCGGAGAGCGGCGGGGGTGTTGAGAAGTGAGAGGTGGGAGAAAATCCCGAAGCGACGCCGTTACGGTGCGGATCCCGCCCTGGGAGGGGGGAGGGGGGTTAAGTGAGAGCAGGCAGCCTCTGCGCTGGTGACGCCTACAGCCAGGAATGCGCTGGCGGCGCGGACCGCACGCGGCCCGCAGGTCCCCAGGCCTCCACTGCGCGCTACCCGCCGCCATCGCCACCTCAGTGCGGACCTGCAGATCCGAGCTCCCTTCGCCCCCGCCTCCCACCTATGCCATTCCCTCCTGACCCTTATTGCATCATGATCCGCCAGCCTGGAAGGCTGCGGGCTGCACTATTCGCCTTTGACCTATCCGTCCAGTTGAATTATTGGCGTCCTAGTGAATTATTTTCAAGGGTCTGGGGTTCAAGGCCGGGTTATCGCATTCCCACGCGTCCACCCAGCTACCTGGCGCACGGTGGTCAGGGAGGGCCTGGTACCCTGTGGCGGGGTGGGGGTGGGAGGCTTTCAGCGCGAGGTTACTCGGAGTTCCGTCTGAGTCTAACGCGGTGGGGGCGGGGGCACCGTCTGGAAACTGGTTGGGGATCCTGGCACCCGCTGCTCCTGTGTGCGTTGCAGGGGGGCGAAGGAGTGCGATTTCCAACCAGGATGTTGCCTCTGGAGGAGGAGCCACCAATGAGGAGACTGAGTGAAGGCCCCTGGCGTAGGTCTGGGAGCTTAGCAGAGACCTGGGCTTCCACCCGTGAACTGAGCCAAATCTCCGGTGAAACTAGCGCGCAAGTGCCAACACGCAGGTTTTGCTGTCAGGCAGAGAGGCTCCGAGATGGAGCTGTACTCAGCGGGGAGTGGCCTCGTGGAGGTACTTCTGTGCTGTACGAGTTCCCCACAACCCTGGGCTTTAACCTCTGGAGCTCCAGAGGGACGCAGGGGAATTGCCAGCACGAGGAACCAGACTGACAGGATCGCCAGAGGCAGTCCATGCACAAAGGCAAGCGGGAAATCTCGCACGAGCGCCTCTCATGGTGGATGCCAGATGCTCTGAGTTCTCCAGTGAGAAGCGCCTATTTTGTTTCTCCCGGGATACTCAAGGCTCTTCCCGGAGCCTCGCCAAGGGCAGCAGAGCCAGGACCTCACCGTGTTTTGTACTGGGGATTGCACGCACAGTCTCGCAACTATAGGGAAGGTGTTGGTGTTGATAATATTCTAGCGTGTGTTTGTTTGTTTGTAGTAGTTAATATCGTCAGAATTGTTACAGAGCCTAATACTTAATGGGCTTTAATTCCCACACATCATGATATTCCTTATACCTAGTGGGCAGGACAGCTGGTTTGGTACCAACATTTAGCACCTCTACTCCCTGCCTCCAAGCCCTGTTTGGACCCAATGCATAAGTATTTAGGCGTGGGGTCTGTGAGTCTGATCCAGTATTCATTGATAGGAAGCTGTATTTAGAGCTTAGCTGCTGGTTACCACGGATTTCTGTGTGCAAACCCCCTGCCTCCCTGAGTTTCATTTCATTATCTGAAAAAGGGATAGAGAGCTAGAAAATGTTCAGGATCTCTCTCAGCTGTAGGATTCTTGGCTGTAGTACACTGGGCAAGCAATTCTTTTCATTTCCCAGGATTTTGGCTGGCTTCAGCTCCCAGTCCCAGTGGATCCCATGCTGGGGTTTTCACCACCCACAAAGCAAGCCAGGTTCTGAACAGAGCCACTGCTTCCTGGTGGATTTA